TTAAATTGGTAATGCACATAATCTGTATAAGATGATAATACATTCATACTGGTTCTGTGGCTTTACAAAGAAAAATCCTTAAAGGTAGCAGAAGGGAAATTCTAGCCATAGTCAGAATATTGGATTTATAAGGAACCAGTGTAAAAACTTCTTTTTACAGATTAGAAGGCTAGCCCAGAGAGATAACGGAATTTGTCAGATTTGGTGACAAAGCCAAATGTTAGATCCACGACACTTAAGTTGAGCTCTTGGACTTAGTAGTCCCTCTCCCAGATGTATTTCAAAGACACATAGTAGTCAAGAAGTTGTCTTGAGCATCCTGTAGCCTGCCAGGGTATTATGATGTTTCAGGGGTACTTAGAGCAATAATGCAGCAATCAGGAGCACCTCACTTCTTTGAAGTTCTTAGGCAGGAATTTTATGTGTAACATTGTAGTTAGAAATGCTTTTGTTACTTCTTATACATGGAAACTTCTGACAAGAGATGGCTAGATTGGTACTAAAGATTGTTGAGAACAAGAAGATCATTTTGTCTCGTTTAAACTGATTCTTAAGTGTTGGCAGAAAATCTAGGGGATTTTGCCAATATTATATTTCTGAGCAGGCCTGACTCTTAGCTTATACTTCATAAGGAGGAAATTGTGCCCAGAGTGCAAGTGAACCAACTAAAGGAATAATGTGTTTATTAATTAGGATTAGGTCTGACTGGGCAGAAGAGGGGGTGTCCCAATAGCAGTAGTTTAGTCAAGATAGAGATTATTTTTTTCTCTTGAGTACAGTTCCTTAACTTTCAGAGACTTGGTTTTTTCTCTCTTTCTGCTCAACCCATTTGAAAGCTGTTTTCTAGAACCAGCCCACCCAGCAATCTCTGCTTGTACCTCATTGGTCATTCCTATTGTCAAGGAAGACTGGAATGTTATAACTGAGCTTGTTACTATTCACAATTATTAGTGGTTCCATTATTAAGGCAGAAAAGGAGAGCGGATATTGAGTAGACACTCAACAGTCTCTGCCATTACCTGCTTTGAAAAATATAATACTTACATTAGGAAAATCAGATTTATTGACGTTAAAAAAAAACTACGCAGGCCATAAATTAAATAGCTCCCCCAAATGCAGCCACCACATATCTGATTAATTACAGCAATAAATCTTTAGGGTAGAGTGTTCTGCTTTGGAATTCTCATCAGGACTCATTTGGAACAGCTGTTAGGTTTTGTAGGGTGTATGTGTGTGTGTGTGTGTGCGCTCCACTAAGTTTATTTATTTATTTTAATGTTTTATTGTGAATTATGTGATAGTTTACATGGAAGAACATTAACTTTACATTCATTCTATCGTATATATAGTTCCATTGCCATGGTTACAATCCCCTCCGTGCATCATCAACCAACCAAAGGGTATACCCTGCAAGCCTGCCCCCAGTTGTCAGCACACAGCCCATCTCCCTCTCTGGGTCTAGAGTCCCCAGCCACTCCATCTCTCCACATCATCATCTCTGCCTCCATCTCTGGCGTCATTGATCCTCTGGGTAGTAGGGTTCCACATTCCGCTCTTCTCCCTTGATGATCCCAGGGACCTCCGCTTCTGGACTGCAAAGTCAGCCACTCCCTCCTTTTGCTACAAAACATCTACCTTTACATTTCTAACCCTCAAAGTCAGTCCTGATAGCAATTATTCACTATTCTGCCACATGAGTGCTATCCCTATCTCCTTTCATCAGTCCCACCCAGACAGATTGGATACTACTCAGTGGAGATTCTACCTTCCTCTGCACCCTCTGGATCTAGGCTCCCTCTTAAAAGCTTGTAAGCCAGTAACTTCTTGCCTTTGTAGCCCCCTATTTTGGGTTACCAGTGTCCAAGTTGCCCATCTCTGCTCTACCCTGTGTGTGGAGGGGGTAGGCATGATCCTTGCTGTAAAGGTTGGTTCCATCTTTTGAGCTACTAAATCCATAGGTATAGGACAAGTTCATCAAATTGTATCAGATTATTCTTTTTTTCCTTCTCTTTCTTCTTCTAGTTGAGCTCTGATCATCCAGCCATTGAAGCCAGGTCAAGTGGGTATTATCTGCAAGTGTGGGTGTTCTTGTGCGTATTCCCTCTCTTCTTATCACCTGGATGCTTCACTCTCCACTCTAGTCCTCTGTGGCTATGTCACTGACTCTGGCCCCAGGAATCCCTAGGTCTTGCCATACTGCTGGTAAGCAGGTCTCTACCGGGTTCACAGGAGTCTATTGAACATTGTAGGGCTTAGCTTGCAGCTTCATTGCTGTTTGTTTGTTGTGGGTTTTTTTTAATGATTTATTATGAATTATGTGATAGTTTACGTGGGAGAACATTAGTTTCACGTTCATCCTATTGTATATCATTTCATTGCCAAGGGTACAATCCCCTCCATGCATCATCAACCAACCAAAGGGTATACCCTACAAGCCTGCCCCTGGTCATCAGCACACAGCCCCTCTCCCTCTCTGTGTCTAAAGTCCCCAACAGCTCTATCTCTCCACGTCGTCGTCTCTGCCTCCATCTCAGGCATCTCTGCTTCTCTGAGTAGGGTCCCCGCTCTCCGCTCTTCTCCATTGATGGTCCCAGGGACCTCCGCTCCTAGACTGAAAAGTTAATCACTCCCCTCCTTGCTACAAAACGTCTACCTTTGCATTTCCAACCCTTGCAAGCAGTCCTGATAATAATTATTCACTATTATATCACAAGAGACCCATCCACATTTCATTTCATCAGCTCAGCCTAGACAAATTGGATACTACTCAGTGGAGATTCAACCTTCCTCCATGCCCTCTGAATCTAGGTTCCCTCTTTAAAGCTTGTAAGCCAGTCACTTCTTGCCTTTGTAGCCCCCTCCCCCCATTTTTGATAGCCAGTGTGTCCAAGTTGCCCATCTCTGTCTGCTCTGTGTACGGAGGGGGTTGGAATGATCCTTGCTGTAAGGATTTGTTCCCTCTTCCAAGCTACTGCATCCATAGGTGTAAGTCTAGTTCATCAAGTTGTATCAGATTACTCTTTTTATCCTCTTCTTTCTTCTGGTTGAGGTCTGATCATCCAGTCATTGAAGTCAGGTCAAGTGGGTATTATCTGCAAGTGTGGGTGTTCTTGTGCATATGCCCTCTCTTCTTATCAGCTGGATGCTTCACTCTCCACGCTAGTCCTCTGTGGCTTAATCACTGACTCTGGGCCCAAGAGTCCCCAGGTCTTGCCACACTGCTGGCCAACCAGGCCTCCACCCCGGTTCACAGGAGTCTATTGAACATTGTAGGGCTTAGCTTGCAGCTTCCTTGCTGTTTTCCCCTCACTTCCCCTTATCGGTGACCAATGTGGTCACCAGTCAGAGTGCATGTCTGCTCGTGTATCCCCATTGAGTCTTAGTCTTCGAAGGGGGTTTACCCTGAGGGGACCCGACCACTTGCCTTGATGTCTCCTGAGTGAGCAACTTGCTTGTTCTTGTAATAAGGTTTTGTAGCTTTTAAATAAACTGAAGAATGGGCTCCCCCAAACAACAAGGTGTGGGAGGGGGAAACATTTCTAGTGAATTCCTGTTTCCTTTAAGAACTTGGGAGAAATAAACAGCCACAGGCACAATTAATGGATTTTTACTGGGAAAACAGAAGCATAGTATACTATATTAGATGACATGAGCTAAGGAAAAGAAAATGTGTGTGTGTGTGTGTGTGTATATATATATATATCAAACACATTCAAGTTGTTTAGGATGGAACAAGAGAGACCAATGCTATATGCGATATAGCTAAATATATACATTATATTGTACTAAGCCCAGATATACCCTAGCCAGCTTGGAAAGAAAGATAGCCACAATGGGTTGAAGTATTAGATATATGGAGTCGTGGTATGGTACTGTAGGATAAGCATTGGACTGCTAACCATGAGGTTGGAGGTTCAAACCCACCTACCACTCCTTGGAAACCCTATGCAGGGTTGTTATGAGTTATAGAACAATTAACAGCTATTAGATGTGCACCATCTCTGCCTGTATCCCAACCATCCAAATAAAAAGGGAATGATACAATGGAGAGAATTTTGTTGTCCAAAATACTTGGAGGCAGAAATAAGAATAAACAATTGTAAAGCATGGGATACATAAATGTGCATGATGGAAGCATTTCTGTGAGACCAAATTTTAAATGCCTGTGGTCTTGTTTGTATCCATTGTTCATATGGTACCATATAAAATGTATTTATTGAGTAACACATTTGCAATGCACTTTTAGAGTGAAAAAAAGTCATTCACAAATTGCCACTTTGGTGATTTTAGGTCTAGATTTTGGCTTCTTGTAGCTTTGAATTTCAAATCTGGGAAACACCTAGGATAGTATTTTTTCCCCAGTCATAACTGCTTACCAGCAGCCATTCCCAGAGTGTCTGTTGACTTTTTTCCAGCTGCCAGAAAACAGGAAACTGCAGAGACTCCTTGTGAGAAGTGGGGGCAGTTGTGCTGGCCTGGAGCCAGGCTGTGCCCTTTGTGACCTCAGCTCTTCAATCTTTGAGTTCTCCATATGGGGCAGCAGTTACAAACTGCTCTGTGTGGCTTTGTCAGTAAGCATAGGGAGTACTAATGAAACTAGCTAATGCAACAAGATCTGCTAGGCAGCCCTTTGAGCCATCCTTAGAACCTTTTATGGTACTGCAATTTGGGCATCCTTTGGGAAGAATAGTTTACGCTCTGATCCAATAACGGATCCAGGACCATTTTCTGACTGATAATAGCAGTGGAAATGCCTTTGGCACTCTGGTATTAAATAACTGCTTATTTGAACATAGTGTGCAATGCCTTTGCCTTTTCCACTAGTTATTAACTCCCATTGAAGCTATTGTGCTCAGTTCAAGTTCTTTAGTAGGGACTATGGAAGGAAATGGAAATCATACAAATTTGTCCTTTCTTTATATCTGCTTGGTGCTCATGCAGCTGTCTCATATTTTGTTTTTTGTCTCCCCCTCTGCACCCCATTTCCCCTCTGTTTTCAGGTGACGGTCTCCCACAGGTGCACTACTTTGGACCTTGTGGGAAATACAATGCCATGGTGCTGGAACTACTTGGCCCTAGCCTGGAGGACTTGTTTGACCTCTGTGACCGAACTTTTACTTTAAAGACAGTGTTAATGATAGCCATCCAGTTGGTAAGTTGGTGTTCCTACTCTACAAGACTTGGATAGGTGGGTTCGCAAGCCACATCCATGTAGGCATTTTGATGATTCACCATCTGTAGTGATGCCTAGTGAATGCCTGTTCAGGGTCTCAGTGGCATTTTAGGAAGCTGGCTCCGGAAAAGGTATAACTTAGAGAAGTTACACTACATCTGGAGTTTGCTCTAAGAATTTGTACCTTAGGGCAACATCCTGCCCTTAGCTGAAGTGCAAGCATATAATTTAGATTAGAGAGAAAGAATATGATTGGGTGAAGTTGGACAAATGCAAATAATGTCTTTGATGTTTTATTTATAGGCTTTAAATGATAGCTGTAAAGTTTTGTTGTTGTTTTCCCTTTTCCCTCACTGTTACACCCAAGAAAAGATTGGGGTGTAGTGCTCAGATTCAAAGTTATCAGAGTTATGTGGCCAAGAATCCACCTTTGTTCTCTGGCCTCCAGGTCTCACAGAGGCTGACACAGCTAGAGGCAGCTCTCAGCATCCACTAAATTACACATCGATACCAGCTTAAGGAACAGCTGAGACAGGTCCTTTGCGAAGTTTGTGGGCCTCTCAGGAGAAGGATACATCTGTGTTTGCAGTAATAATGGTCTAACCCACTGTCTGTCCCATAAAACTAGGAAATGTTAGAAAATTGACCCTTACCTCTGAGTCCAGTTTAACTGTCCAAGCTTCCCTTTTTATACTAAGTAGAAAAGCATTGTTGAAAGAAATATTTAGTAATACTTGAAATAATTTTATGATATTTTGAGGGATTTGTATTTTATTTAACATAGCAACTACAGTCCTACAACTAGTTGTGTGATGTCAGGCCAGTATTAACTTCTCTGGGCTTCATCCTCCTTTTTTCTACAACAAAGAGAAATAAGTGTTGGGTTGGAAAGTCTTAGAATTGTGACCAGAGGGTGGATGTGGCAGTGGTTCATCTCAGAGGTCAAAATTGTGCATTATCATTTTAACTGAATCGTACCATCCTGCTTTCTTTTCCTAAGCTGGTTATTTATTATGTATATATTCATATCAGAAAATATTTTTAGCTTACAACATCAGTAAAGTGACTAGGAAATGAAAAAGATGTGGTTTAAAATTTTTTAAGTTTTAGTAGTTAAAATGATGGGTTGTTGAGAGAAAATGCTGTGATGGTATTTTTTTCAGTATACTTCTCTCTCTCTCTTTCTCTCTTAGCTTTCTCGAATGGAATATGTTCACTCCAAGAATCTCATTTATCGAGATGTCAAGCCAGAGAATTTCCTGATTGGCCGACAAGGCAATAAGAAAGAACATGTTATACACATTATAGACTTTGGATTGGCCAAGGAATACATTGACCCTGAAACCAAAAAACATATACCTTATAGGGAGCACAAAAGTTTAACTGGAACGGCAAGATACATGTCGATCAACACGCATCTTGGCAAAGGTGTGTTCATTTTCTGCTCCGTGAAAGGGGCAGATCATTAAAACAGCTTTTTATTCCCCATCGTACATTGTAATTTGTGATTTTTACTGATTCACAAGGAAAGTGATTTTTGTATTTGAGAAAATAAGATAGTTAAGTAAGTGACTTTCCTTAAGTCACCTATTGTGACTTAAAGGTTTTTAATCCTTTGCACAGTATTTCCAAGCCCTTAATTTCTCAGCAGCGTGGGCACTTCAGTTATTATACAAGAGGGCTTCAAAAAGTTCATGGAAAAATTCCATGATCTTTTCATTCCATTTTCCACAAACTTTTTTAAGGCCTTTTGTATTAAGGTAATATTATTTTAATATTTTGTCATGAATTTGGTAGTTTTATACCTGTGACGGAGTACTGATGTGGCACTATGGGTTAATGCACTGGACTGCAAGTTGGTTTGAACCTCAAGGTCAGTAGTTCAAGCTCAACAGCTGCTTCTCAGAAACACTATATAGGGTTGCTATAGGTTGGAAGCAACTCAACGGCACTTAATAACAACAATGTACCTATCACAGTGCTGAAAAATTTCTGCTCTAGGGACCAGGGTAACTGTCTTCCCACCCTGCTTAGGCCCTGAGATAGCCCAGTTAAAAAAGATAGCCCAATTTATTACTCAGTGGTTGAAATTAGGGTGGGCAATTTGCCTCTTTCCTCTAATAAAATATTATTAAGTGTTGTTGAGTCAGTTCCTACTCATAGTGGTCCTATATAGGGTTTCTGAGGAGAGGTGGTTGGTGGGTTTATACCACTTTGTGGGGAGCAGTCCTGTGCTTATCCTATAGCACCATACCAGAACTCCTTAATCAAAAAAAATTTTTGACCTAAAATCAGGTGTAGTATCAAGCATATCTTTCTGATGTATGAGCAAGGCTCATAGTGTTGTCTTATTGGTACTGAAATCTTTCATCTTTGAAAATGAAAGTATCCTGCATAAAAGAGTGAGAGCATGTGGAAATGCCAACTCCAGTAAGTGTGAAGTGTATAAAGAAGTGTGGAGAAAAAGCATACCTCTGGTTTTCACCCTTGTTTTATCCCTGAAAAGGCCCTAAAGGGTGAACTGATCCTAGAATATTTTAGAATTTAGAGGTAGAAGATGACTTTATAGCTCACCTAAATTGGCCACTTTATTTTCAGGTAAGAAAACAGAGACTCAAAGTAGGTGACTTGGCCATGGTTAATTTCACATGGATGACATTAGTGAAAAAAATGGGACAAAACCCAAATGTCCTGACTCTTTTTCCCTGTTATCCCATATTCCACATTTATGTTTCTCATTATTGGAGAAGTTACTGTATTACTCCAAGTGGATTATTTTTTTTTTTATCTCATCTCATAATTGGTCTTGCTGTATGGGTCTGATCATTATGAAAATGTGGAAAGCTTTGCCCTCTAGTGCTCAGCTAACCAAACTGCAATCATTGTCCAATGAATTTTTTATTACCAAGGGGCCTCTTGTTACAGGAAGTGGGTAAGTGGATATAAAAATGGAGGTGGGGGTTGAGTAGGTGTGATACCGTGTGAGAAACTGCAGGGTGTGGTTTTTCTCTTTCTGGCTTGCTTTGTGAGAGGCCTCAACTCACTCTGCTTGTTCTTTCTGTTTTTCATTTGTTCATCTTTCACTTCTATTCCAAATTGTTTTTATATAAAGGCTTTTTTCAATTATGTGTGATATTTTATTGCAGTCTTCAGGCAAGCCATGGAGATAAACGCTGCCAATGGTCTTGCTGTTTTATTTCATTCCTTTAAAGAGTATTTCAATTGATGTATACCAACTCAGTTTTATGTTATTTCTCTATGCCAGGCTGCCCCACTCTTTCCATCAGTGACCACCTTTCCAAAGACCTCCTTTAAATTGCTAGTTAGAAAGTTGCCTTTCTTTCTTTCTTTCTGCATCTGCCCTGTAGAGTACTATTCATATTCATTCTTTTGCATGCAAATTTCCCATAATTGGAGGCAGCAGTTAAACATGTTGTGCCTCTTTATTTTGAATGGACTTAGTGGCTTTTCTGCCTACGTGGCTCTTACCCTTCACTTTCTACACAAAGCAAGCACAGTCACGTTTAAGCCAGCCCCCAATCTTACTTGTGTAATTTCTTTTGATAAATCCATGAATTTGATTCTGAAAAACAAACACATAAAACGTCTGCAATGAACTGTAATTGGAAAATTAGTAATCGAGGCATGTTCTACTTATATTCAGTCTGACAACCAAAGAATGTGTAGGACGTTTTCTGAGATAAAATGGCATCAAAGATGAAGTTCTTTGCCGTCTTTATCTTCCCAATTAAGTAGAAAAAAGAAAACAAAAAATCCAGTAGCTTATTGTAGATGACAAGGTCACAGAATGCAAGAACTGTTTTATGTGCCCATGATAGAAAGCACCTCAGTAATACATGGTAAGTTTTTCTTAAAATAGTCATGGGCATGCTACAAATGGAATAAAGGGATTGTGCACTGTTGTTTGCTTATAGAAAACTGAATTTTAAGTGTTAATTCTTCTGATGACTAAAAAGTACTAAGCATGTGTATGTTCGGCATTCTGCAGCTTCTATCTTTGCTGGCCTAGCTAGAGGGACTGTTATAACAGCTTCAGCTGCTTAATCTGCTCCCCACTTCCGCTAGTAGTAACTGAGGGTAAATGTAGCCCTTATTACTGGAAATAACTGTTCATTCCAATTGTCTGCCTTTCAGGAAGGTCACGCATTGAGTCGGGTGTTTCAGTGACTTGGACTTGGTTTTAGGATTTGCTCTTTTCACGTGAAATTTACTTGCCAGCAACAGTTCTAGACAGAGGAAGTATAGAGTGGTTTTGGTTTTGAACTAAAATGCTATCCCTGGTTTAGATATACAATGAAGTAGTAAACAGAGCCTTTCCAGAGCAGAAGGGTTTCTGAAAGGATTACTTGGTTTTGAACCCTTTTCTGCTTTAATAACTGCAAACATAATGTGTGATCTGTCTTTCTTTTTAGAGCAAAGCCGGCGGGATGATTTGGAAGCCCTAGGCCATATGTTCATGTATTTCCTTCGAGGCAGCCTACCCTGGCAAGGACTCAAGGTATCCTTGAAAGTGCTGAGTGGAGGGCTTTGTTTCAATGCTCAGTTGTTAATGAAGGGGCTGCTGACTTGATGCCTGTACAAAGCACAAAGGGGAAGACTGGCTGCCGAGATGAGGAGGGGACTTACTGCATTGTAAATGCTCACCTAGACTCTAAAAGCTCTATTTTGCTCTCATTCCTCGGCTTCCCCCTCTTAATCCTTTCTTCCTTGTTTTGGGGGTTTTCAGTAATCTTTCCCCTCATCCCCCTCACCTCCACTCCTGAGCCTCTGCAGCGCTGCTTTTTTTTCTCTCTCGCTTTCTCTCAGTATTCCTCCCCCACTAACCATGACAGAGCAGAAGGAGTGTTCACAGTGTGTCAGGGAGTTTCTGGAACAAATTGTTGACAGCAGCTGCTACACATTTTACCAGCAAGGCCAGCAGGGCTGGGGGTGCCTCTCAGGCACTGGAAAATATTTTTTCATCATACACAGGATAAAAGCCCACCTGAAATAAAATGAAAATCCAGGCTTCACCCTGATGCTCTTCAAGTGTGTTATTGAATAAATGCCTATTCAGACAATAGCCATTCCTTGTGAAGTGTATGTAGGATTTAAATAGTCTTCCTTGGGTAGGTGTCAGTACAGTGCCTTTATGTCAAAAATTAACTACTCATTATTATAATTATAAGTATTATATTTATTCTGTGCTCAGGCTGTTAGACTAAGAAGTGGTAAGCTTCTACCGGAAGTTCCTTTAGGGAGGTAAAAGTGAGACATACATTTGAGTCCTAATTTATTTTAACATATTAATATAGAAGGAACTGTAATCAGTAGCTTGGAGTACTTATACATGCTCTCCCTCCAGAAGGGCAGAATGGTTCATTTTGTGCTCCTAGGACATTTGTCCTGAAAAGTAAGACTTCTGCCATTTTCCTTTGAGATGATTTTATTTCTTTCCCTTGAATTCCTCTCTTAACATTGCCTCTGTGGCCTTCTTCTGATCATATATAACTTCTCATTGTTATTGAAAGTTTTCACGTATAGTTCCACATCCTACTTGCTCATCATATAACTGAATAATTAATTCATATATTATTAATTGATTGCATTTTTTTGTAAATATCTCTTTTAGTGGTCTATAGATCATTTTAGTGGTAGTTCTAGATCTAAAATTTTTTATAATTTACTTCAGGTGAGTGTTCTTAAGCTGAGCACAGCATGGTAGGAAAAGCCTCATGAAAATTCCTTGAGCATACACTGTTGGTCTAAGGTCCAGAAGTCCTCTGTCCACAATCCTAAGTATATCAGGCTTGAGTGACTTTGGTCCACTCTACAGCTCCACACCAGTAGAACCATCTCCATTCCTGCCCCCTCTTGCATTAGCATACTCCTGGTATGGCATTGTAGGATAAGCACTGGACTGCGAAGCACAAGGTCAGTGGTTCAAACTCACCAGCTGCTCCTTGAAAACCCTATACATGGTAGCTGTGAGTCAGAATCGACTGGATAGCACTAAGCAACAGCTTGTGTTAGTAATACTTTTAGTATTATCATAGAACTGATCTAAAGGGGAAGGTTGAATCACAATTGAACTTCAATGGCATTGAGAGATTACTAAGCTTCTGCAATTTTGAAAATATTGCTACATAATGGTATTTTTTTCTTATCTAGCCAGTTATCTCAGTAAGTTTGATACTGTTTATCTAAGACCATTAAATGTATTTGCAAGTAAAAATTTCCAGAACACAGCAGATGTTCTGTACATATCTAAATACATCTCTACTACATTTCTCATTTATTAATGTTACAGAGAAAAAAAATTAAGACTCACAAATCCTGCCAATTTGAGTGAAACAATCATTGTGTCCTAAACATATTGAACCTTCCAGACTTAGCACCTCTTTCCAAGTGACGCTCTCTCTTCCCTCTCTACAGGCTGATACATTAAAAGAGAGATATCAAAAGATCGGTGACACCAAGAGGAATACTCCCATCGAAGCTCTCTGTGAGAACTTCCCAGGTAGGATGCTGAAAGATCATTTTAACCAATGGGATTGAAGCTCCAAAATACACAGACTCTGACAGATTGTTTCCAGATCAAGGTGATGTCTAGCTAATTTACATTTTCTCTTATTGTTTAGAGCAAGGTAGTTTTTGATCCCTTCATTTGGACCATAAAGCAAACATCTTAGTCAGATAGTCTACACAGATATCCCTTGCTTGCTTGGCTCAGAGATTCTCCCCAGTGGGGAGCATTCAGCTAGTAAGCACCACCTTTCATCTTTTTCCTAACAGAAGAGATGGCAACCTACCTGCGATATGTGAGGCGATTAGACTTCTTTGAAAAACCTGACTATGAGTATTTACGGACACTCTTCACAGACCTCTTTGAAAGGAAAGGCTACACCTTTGATTATGCCTATGATTGGGTTGGGAGGCCTATTGTAAGTATCCTCTTTTTGTCTTGTAACCTCCTTTCTCAGACTAGGATTGCCCCATCCCTTTACCTGTCAGTCTTTCTGCGTAAATCTTTGGAGACAAACATTCTTTTGGCTGTAGGCATAACTTATCTCTACCAGCCTTTTCAGAAAGAAAATAGGCTGCTCTTATTAGACTTAGGAAATAGGAGTAACTCCTTTTCATGTTTTTGAGATTGTCACTTGTGTGTTCAAAGATACCAGAATTTAAAGTCCGTCTTTTAGAAAACATTTCATTTGTCTGATTCAGAAGTTGGTGCTACATAAGCTGCTAAGGTACTTCATTTCTTTGGGAGTAGATCCCAGCACCATGAGGAACTTTAGCGTTTACTCTTCTGACCAGGGGTCCACAGGCGGTGAGCACATGCTAACAAATAGCACTCTAAGGTAAGCTACTCTTCAGTGAACTATTGAGAAAGGACCAAGCTGCTTCCCTTTTGCAAATGAGAAGATAAGAAAATGTAAAACTGTCCTTGGTAGTTGAAACCTTTTACAGGGCCGCTATGAGTCAGAACCGATTTGTTGGCACTTAACAACAAAACAACACTGCTCTCTTAGAATTAGAATGATGTTGTCCTTTGCAGAGGCGTCTTGTTGCTCCCATTTGACTTTGTGCTTTGTTGTTGTTGTTGTTTTCCAGCCTACTCCAGTAGGGTCAGTTCATGTAGATTCTGGTGCATCTGCAATAACTCGAGAAAGCCACACACACAGGGACCGGCCATCACAACAGCAGCCTCTTCGAAATCAGGTATGTGTTGGTACTCAATTCTTTCAGATACTCCTTTACTTCATGACTGTTATTAAAACCCCAAATCTCCCAGCTTTTCTGTATAAGTGTATACACTGAGATGAAAGACAAAAAGCTTACTATTTTTAACATTCTAGCACACCTAAGGACTTGCATAGTAGCACTGATACCTTACACGAAACATCCACTCCAGGAACTCTGCTCCTGTCAGAATTGTTTGTCTGAAGCCAGGACTGTCTCTGAGTTAGGACCTGAGGTAATCTGCCACAACACCCATAGGAACTGCTGGATCTACGGAAACACTGGGTTAGCCCACTGTATGTCTCATGTTAATCTAGTATGGAACTCTTAGCCAGTTCTTATTTATCCTTGCGGATTAAGTAATTTGAACTTCCAGCTGACTTGGGCATGAACTGGAGCCTCCAGCACCAACCTTTGCCCCTGTCCCCGGGTTAATCTGACAGATTTACATGCATATATGTTAAGAATAATTCCTAGACATATACATGCATACATATAACATCCTCAAAATAAAGTACATGCACTAATACGGATAGATTCTCCAATAAATACATACTTTTGGCCTCTTGGTAAAATGTATAGCTTGGTGGGTAACAAAAAAAAAGTGCAAAGGAAAGAAGCTATGTATAAAAGATTTAGACTAAAGAGAGTAGGTGGACAAAAAGATGAGGTTTAGCAAATTGTTGTTGGTAATTGGGGTCCTTAGTTAACCTGCTTAATCAGAGGAATCGCTAAAGCTTATAATTTTACTGCTGATCATTGTTCTGCAATTGTTCTTCCCCCACCTCCAACCCCCCTTTTTAAAGGCTAATCCCCAGTGCAGGTGAATTGAATGGGGGCAAAGGTCAAATGACCCGTCCACACATTGCTATTGACTTTGCAAATTGGTATGCTTTCTTTAGAAAGGAACTTGACAGTGTGGTTGTCCTCATACTTCTTGAAATCAATACTAATAAAACAACTCAAAATGCAGATGAAGTTTTGTGTATAAAACATCGTAAAAATTTAGAAGTGACCCACCTATCCTGGTATGGGAATGATTATGTATTCCCCTCAAATTCTTTATTGAATAAGCTGGGCTATAATAGATAAACTAAATTTTGATACATTGATTTCATGGAATATTGTGTAGCCAGCTAAAATAATGTTTAGGAAGACTTACAGCAACATGAAAATGTTTACGCTGTGTAAAATGAAGCAATCAGAATGCAAAATTACAGATGTCCCGAGATTTCCCCTTTGTTGTTGTTAAGTGCCATCAAGTCAATTCTGACTCATAGTGAGCCTATATAGAGTTTCCTAGGAGCAGCTGTTGTGTTTGAACCATTGACCTTGTGGTTAGCAGTCCAGTGCTTGTCCTACAGCGTTATACCAGGACTCTTTGGTGATGGATATTGTGTGCCATCGAGTCAGCTCTGACTCATACTGACCTCATATAGGGTTTGCTAAGCTGTATGTCTTTATGGGAGCAGAAAGCATCATCTTTCTTCTGCAGAGTAGCTGGTGGATTCAAATTATTGACCTTGAGGTTAGCCCAGCTCTTAACCCACTGTGCTACCAGGGCTCCTTCTAGCACTAGTGGTGGTGGTGATAGTGTGCCGTGGAGTCAGTTCCGACTCATAGCAACTTTGTACAGGGTTTCCAAGGCTAAATCTTCATAGAGCAGAAAGCCTCATCTTTCTCCCGGGTAATGGCTGGTAGTTTTGAACTGCTGACCTTGAGGTTAGCAGCCTGACTCGTAACCACTATGCTACCAGAGCTCCTTTCTAGTACTAATTGTTTTTGTCGTTAATTGCCGTGGAGTCAATTCTGACCCATAGCAACCCTATAGGGTTTCCGAGGAGCAGCTGCTGAGCTTGAAACACTGACCTTACAGTTCAAATGGCTTTGTAGACTGGCGCATCAACCCACAGCGCCACACCAGGACTCCTTTTTGTACTAATGTTGTTGTTGTTAGGTGCCATCTAGTCGGTACCAACTCATAGCAACCCTATGCACAACAGAACGAAACACTGCCCAGTCCTGGGCCAACCTCATAATTGTTGTCACCCTTGAGTCCATTGATGCTGCCACTTTGTCAGTCCATCTCGTTGGGTGTCTTCCTCTTCTTCTCTGACCCTCCACCTTACCAAACATGGTATCCTCTCCAGTGACTGGTCCCTCCTGACAGTAAGTCTGCAGTATGAGAGACGAAATTTGGCCATCCTGATATGGTAAGGAAAAATGAGTAAATCATCAAGGAAATAATGCTAAAATATTAACAGGTGGTGTTGCAAGTTGTGAGACTATGGGTAATTTCCTCCAAATTATTCTATAATGGGGTTTTATTATGCTATAATAGAAAATGAGGGAGTCCAGGTGTGATGCTGTGGGTTAATGCACTGGACTGCAAGGTCTGTTTGAACCACAAGGTCAATGGTTCAAGCTCACCACTCCTTGGAAACCTTGTACAGGGTCGCTATGAGTCAGAACCCACTCAGAATTGCACTTAACAGAGCAACAATAGAAATGTATTTAAATAGAAAAGATATGGGAAGAAAAAATAGATAATGTAAGTAGTGAGTGAAGTCACAATCATCATATATGCCCACTCACATTTGTGTTATATTTAGAATTAAAATATATTTTTCTTTCAGGCAAATAATCATTTATTTCCCTTGTCTTCCTTGAATTCATAATCAGTGCTGTTGCTTTGGATGGATTTTTAAATTATGGTGAAAGTAGTGATTGAAAACCTGGATTGCCAGAAAATTTGTATCAGGGTTAAAGTGCAATGAGTCCTAGTGTATTTTTAAATGAAAGATCATTTGATTCCTGTATGTGATTGTTTAGGAAAATCTCATCTGTGAGACAGCGAGCTTCATTTTGAAAAGTTGAATCTGGAAAGTCTCTTTTTGTTTTGTTTTTGTTTTTTTGTGTTTACTTATTTCTTTTTCGAGTTTTTAGTGTCCCCTGCCTGTTTAGGGATTCAAATTCTGCACATTAATGTAAATTTTATACCCCCTTCTTGCAAGGTCCTAGATACTTGTTGGGTAGAATTCTTTCAGCACTGGTTAAATGGATTTTAGTGTCTGTTCTACTTTGATGCAGTTTTAGTTTGTGGTCTCTTTGCTTATGTTCCATTTTCAGGGTTGCTTTTTTATCTTGATTTAAAACAAAAACAAAAACAGCTGCAGCCTCTACTATGTCCCTTTATGACGCTAGGAATTGAGAGCACTGTGATTTTTTTTAGATTAATTCTTTTCAAAGTTTGAAATCAGCAAAATAAGAAATTAAGAGATTAACATTACTTTTAAGGACAGTTGTGTATGGTGCTATGGGTTAATACATTGGACAGCAAAGTTGGTTTGAACCACAAGGTCGATGGTTCAAGCTTACTAGCCACTCCTCAGAAACCCTTTACAGGGTTGCTGTGGGTCAGAACTGACTTGATGACACTTAATAACATCAAAAATCTTTCCTCAGCAACTTTGACTTAGTAAATCTGAACTGAGGGCCTATTATGTGAAAGTATGGTCAGGGGATACCAAGATAAGTAAGAGTGTCCTTGTCTTCAAAGAACTGACAAGCAGATAAGCCAAATGCTGGAATATAAGCAGAACAGGTAAGCAGCCTAAATCATACATTGTTACCAGAAATTGAAAGAAATTACATGAAATTCTGTCATGCTAGTCTGAGCATGACAAAGAGTTTCATGAAAGAGGCTGCATTTGAATTGTCCATGGAAGAATGAAGTGAAGATGGAAGAGACATTCCAAGCAGAAAGGATGCATTCCTGAACAACAGCAGATGTTATACCTAGTCCTACTTTGATAGAATATATGGTGTGAATAAAGGTGTCCTAGGTCAGCAGTTCGAAACTACCAGCTGTCCCACGGGAGAAAGATGAGGCTTTCTGCTTCCATAAAGATTGACAGCCTCGGAAACCTGTGCAGGGTCGCTGTGAGTCGCAACCGACTCCACGGCACATAACAACAACAGGAGGAGTCCTGGTGTGGCCCTGTGGGTTAATGCCCTAGACTACAAGGTCACTTTGAACTGCAAGGTCAGTAGTTCAAGCTTACCAACCCTCCTTGGAAACCCTATATAGGATCTGACTCCAGGGCACACCACCACCACCACCACCAGGTGACAAAGCTAGGAAAATAATTGGATCTCCTGGAATGCTAGGCTGAAGAGCTGGTGCTTAATTTCAGTAGGGACTAGGAATGGCTTTTGAACAGAGGAGTGATAGGAAGAAATCTTTGCTTTAGAAATTTGTAGGCATAGAAGGTTAGTACCAAGCAGCCAGCATAAAGGCCAATGAGAAGTCAGTGGATTCTTTTGAAAATCAAGAGCATCTAGATAGACTTCATAGTAATGAAAATGAAAAGGCAATAGAATCAAAAAATTATAGAGGGATTTAATATACCAGGATTGGCATCTTACATATATATCAGACTGAAGGAGAAAGATGATTCAAAGCCTCTGCTGAGATTTTGAGTATGGATAAATTTGTTGGTGTTGTTAAATGCCATAGAGTCAGTTCCAACTCACAGCAACTCTGTGTAGGGTTCCCTAGGAGCAGCTGGTGAGTTTTGTGGTTCAAACTGACCATGCAGTCCAGTGGTTTATTCCACAGTGCCACACCAGAATAAATACCAGTCAGTTAATAATGTTACTAGAGATGGAAAAATTGGGGTTATGGGTGACTTGCTTAAAATGAAACAACTAGAGAGAGACTTGGGCATCAAAGCATGGCAATGACATTAATGGTAATGTATATCTGCCAAGGAGTTGTGGGAGAGGAGTGGGCATGTCAATGAACAAAGCTGCTTGGTCCCATACATATAAGAGGAGGAAGAAGAATCAGCACAGCTTAGGACTTGGTTTTAGCATATCCCAAGATTTTGATTATAGGACATTTAACCTTTGGAGGGCATTACCTGTCGCTATAGGATAAGCACTGTACTGCTATCCAAAAGATAGAAACCCTATAG